GATTTTCAGATTCAAAATGGCCAATACTCGTCCATTTCAGCTCACTAATGCCTAAGATATTGATGTTTATGCGTTCCATTTCCTTTGGGACAGTTTCTAATTTTCCTAGATTCATACTTTGCACATTCCATGTTCTACTTATTAATGGATGTTTACAGCTGTTTCTCTTCTTTTTGAGTTGTACTTCATCTCATTACTACCACGGGCTTTACTCCATTCATGTCATCATCGTCAACTCGACTTTGAGGAGGCAGGTCTTCCCCAGTGCATTTTGAATGCCTTCCAACTTATGGGACTTCTAGGGACCAAATTATTGTCCAATTCAAAATGTCCAATGCCAGTCCACTTCAGCTCACTAATTAATACCTTGGGTATGGATCTGAAGGCATTGCATTTCATTTTTGACGACCTCCACTTTTCCTGGGTTCATACTTTCTAAGTTCTGATTTTCATGGATGCTTGCAGCGCTTTCTAATTTTGATTCATACCCCACCAGCAAATGAAGGCCCTGAAAGCTTTGTTCCAGTCACATTATTAAGGTCAGTTCTACCTGAGGAAGTAACTCTTCTCCTGTCTTGTTTTGAGTGTCTTCCAACCTGAGGGGCTCATTTCCACACATAAACACACCACACAGAACTATAGTGTAACTTGTATAGTTATTATCCCTTACTCCCCTGTCTCCCGCTGTCTCTCCCTCTCTCTCTCTCACACACAGACACAGACACAGTAGTGTACCTTGTAGTTATATCCCCTGCGCTCTCTCTAATGCCCCCCCCCCCCCACTTCTCACCTGTCTCCATCTCTCACACACAAACACGCACACAAATACACACAGGACCTACTGCCCCTTCTCCTGATATTGTTAAGTATACAGCAACCCTGTATAGTGTTTCTGAGGAGCAGCTAGTGAGATTGAACCATTGACCTTGAGGTTCAAACAGGCTTTCCGGTCCAGTGGATTAACTCACACACAACCAAGGAAATGGTCCACTGCTACAGCCTGATAATATCGCAAACTTTGCTGCCCCCTAGTGACAAAACTATAAAACATTGATTCCTTTTGTCGTCTGTGTGTTCCCTGTGGGTCAGAATGGAAGTAGAATGGTAACAATGGGATTCCAACATGATCTTTAAGGGAGCAGACTGCATCATCTTTCTCCCAAGGAATAGCTGGTGGGCTTGAACCACCAACCTTGTGGCTAGCAGACCAGTGCTTATCCTTCAGCGCCACCTGCAAGTACAACACGTGTGCACCTATTAGTCGTCCTATTTTACTTTAGAAAACGAATAGAGCAACATTCTGTGGCAGGGCTTACAATGTAAACTTACCCAATAAATTCAGACTTTGCCCTCGATTCCTGAGGTAATCTCTAAAACCTTGGGATTTCTCTAACCATTTCAGGCTTCCAGGGTTAACAGAACCCCACCTCAAGATGACCACGTCATCATGACCTGCCAGACATACCCACCTCATGGACGACAATCTTAGGGGAGCTCTCCCCATAACAGCTGTGGACAGAGCTTCCTTGGGCCTCCTGTTTAGTGAGACATTGATGCCTGAGGGAGGGGACATAGCCTTTGGGACAGGGAAGCTCAGCACTGGGGACCCTCTCAGACACTGTCCTGTGCTTCTGTGTCATTTCTCCTACAACTAAACTGTAACCATATATCCAGAACTTTCCGTGAGTTCTCAGTTATTCTAGAGTTATTGGACCGAAAGTGAGGGGGTTGGGGAGCCCTGACTTTGTGGATGGTCTTGAAGGGACAGAGGTGTCAAGGGGTGCAGACTTCCAGCTGGTTTCTGTGGTCTTGGGTGGACCAGGCAGTAGGGAGGATGTGCCCCTGGTGGCCAGGGCTAGGACAGGGTGGGGCGTGTGGCAGCTGAGGCCAGAATGGAGCGGAGAAGAGTAAGGTGGAGAGATTTGGCCTTCTGTTGATGCTCATCTTTGCAGAGGTGACAGAAAAAGTGACTTTGTCATTGGATCCTTTCCACACACCAGTCTTCAAAGGAGCAAATCACCGGGCACTATCATTGCGAGAACGCTCCAGGTCTGTTCTGATGGCACCGGGGCAGCGTGAGGGACCTGTGAGGGCTGGGCTTAGGGACTCAGTGTTCTGTCCCGCGCACACCACCAGATGTTCTTACGCTGCACGGGCATGCCCTCAGCCCCAGAACTCCCTGAACAGAGCCAGGGGCAGGCCAGGCCTTGCTTCCTGGAGTCCCCCACCACATACAGCTCACCCACAGCACCCCAAACCCTCACCTGGCCACCCAGGCCTGGGCACGACAGTCCTGACCATGTGGGAGACACTTGGCTGAGTCTGGGAGCTGCGGTTATGGCCCAGGTCTCTCCGCTGGAGGCCAAGGCCCAAGCGGAACAGAAGTACAAGGCCCTGCAAAAACTGTCAAAGATCCTGGCACTTTCCTGCCACCTTCAGAAGCCTCTTTTGGTGCAGGGAGCCAGAGGCAAGGCTGGTAGAGACCCCGTGGGGGCAGGACTTAATGCTGCAACTGCCTGTGGGGCCTCCTACCACAGGCCAGGGGTCACCTGGTTGTCATCCACAGTCCTTGGGGTTCCCCTTCACTCCCGAGGCCAAGGTCCCCAACTTAAGGTTGGGCGGGAACAGTGCTGGGGGCTGGGCTAAGGGTGGTCCAACAGGACAGTGAGCTTGATTTTGACAAAAAATCCTCAGAAAGTGTTCTGAGGCAGACAGAAGCTGGAGACTCTCAAACCAAAGTGGAGGCTGCCTGCAGGCAAGGCTGTGACCTGAAGTAAGGCCTCCCTCCAGTCTGACACCAGAGAGAGTGGCAAGTACCTGGAAGGTGTGTCAGGGCGCATAGAGTCTGTTTCCTGCTTGGGACAAACAGACAGACAGACAGACAGACAGGGGGAAGCAGAACTGAGGGAAACTCAGGAGACTAGTGGTTGCTTGCTGGGCCCCTTTCTGACTGGGCTGTCCTCTCAGCCCACGGAGGGCAGACGCCTGCTTCTCAGGACAGTCCTGCTCACCAGTGAGCAGGAACAACCAGGGAGGGGGATGTCTGTGTGTGTGTGTGTGTGATGCCAAGGTCACACACAGGGACAGGGTGGGCCACACCCACATCAGCAGCCAGGGAGACTCCTGTCACCTCCACACAATACAGGAGTGAAAACACAAAACAGTGAAATGCCATTCTTACACCAGAATTTTACAAGTGTGTGGAGAAATGGACATCAGACAATGGGATGTTTCCCACCAGCTGCTGAAGCCCCTCTTCCTTCCCAGGAAACAGTCTGGAAAAGAGCACCACCTGCCCCCATCCCAGTCAGTTCCTGGAAGATGAGAGTTCAAGGCGCCCAGGGTAAGCATTCCATCGTGCTGGAGCGTCTGGGAGACTTCCTCAGTCGGCCAAGTGCGCGTTCACCATGCGGCACTTCTTTCCAGAAGCGTCCCCGAAGAACACGAGCTCTTTCACCATCAGAGGCCCCAAGTGTGGCTGCCGTCTTCTACCACCGGAGCCCCGGGCTTTGAGAGAACAGTTTGCTTTGTAAATACTCCAGCAGCTCCAGTCTTGATTTTAACATCTCAACCTCATGATAGGGGATCTATTAAGGGAGGAAACAAAAGGGCCGTTACCTTCCACCATCAGCGTCCGTCCTGGATGTTGGTAACCTCTTTTCTCCCCAGATAGCAGTTCCAGGAGGAGCAAAGGTCACGGCTGTAGCGGGCTCTGTTACTCCTGGGGGAGTAAGTTGGACCTCTCACCATGTCTCAACCAGGTGTGCTGTCCACAAGGAGCTCACCAATGAATGGGGAAAACACAGAGCAGGGAGCTTCTGAGGGCTCAGGAAAACTCCCACTGTCATTGAGCCCCACTTGTTCACACAGTTTTGGGAGGCCCCCCTGCCCCAGAATAATAAACACAAACAGGAAGCAATCCTCAGAAGTAGCGTGCTCAGACCACCAGAGCTCCAGGACTCAGGGAGGGGCACTGCACGGGAGGGACCTACAGATCCTGTGGATGACGGACGGACGCACACAGGTAAGACACACACGCGGGTGGGACACACAGGTGGAACACACACATGTAGGACTCAGATATGCAGGTGGGACACACACACTGGGTAGAGAGGCATTGGAGCCAGTGAGCAGGCTATGGGCCTGTGGCCAGCTTGGAGTCAGGGTTGGATGGTGGGGCCGTGCCCGGCGCTGCAGGCAGAGGGTGGTGAGTGGCGGCATGCCAGCGAGACCCTGCTTGTTCGGGGAACAAGGGTCAGAGGTCACGTGGGGCCGAGTGCTGCAGGATGAGCAGCCATCAGAGCGGGAAGATCAAAGAGAGTCCAGTCACGTGCCAATGCTAAAACGGGGGCCAGGCATCACTTCTGGGAAACCCGGTCTGAACATTCCGTATTTCAAAATGTAAGTCCCCAGATTGCCGGAATGTGGGCTGGTAGGCCATTCAGTCCCTGAGAGTTTACCTGAACCACTTCGTAGCCCAGCAGCCGGAGGTGTCTTTGTTTAGTGGCTTCTTGTCCTAGTAAGTTTTTGCTATTGAAACAAAACCTTTTAGGGCCATCAATGCACAGCGCTACCCTGAAACATCAAAGAGAGACGAAGAAACATTTCAATGTAAGATCAGTCAAACAGAGACACTGCCAAGTGGTTCGGAAGTTTCGCTGTTCCTACGGACCAATACGATTTTCAAATAAATCATGAATGTGTTCGTCTTTATTTTAAAATGTTACTCTTTAATCTGTTAAAAAAGAACGGTAACTAATGAATACTGTCGAGTCAGTTCTGACCCACAGTGACCCTGTGTAGGGTTTCTGAGGAGTGGCAAGTAGGTTTAAACCGCCACATTACGTTCAAATCAACCTGTGGTCTAGCAGTCATCCTACAGCACCACACCAGATGTCTATGAAATATTACAAGAAATATTACAACAGATTTCCAAAATCTCTATGTAGAAAAGCAGTGTTCTGATTTCCAGAATCATGCCTGTTTTCGCCTTTTTAAGAAAAAAGGTCATTTCTTATAACCCTCCAACTGTCTTCTACTAAAGCAGCCCCTCACTGCCTTTACCTTTTATGCACGTCTTCGTGCACGGTGAATGGTAATACGAATCCGTCTTCGTCTAGTTTAATTTCCACATCTGGTGAGAGAAGAGAGGAATCGGCCTCGTGGGGCAGACACCCTCACAGACACTATCTTCCTTGCCTCCTGTGCTCTCTGGTGGTCTTGTCCAGAATGGATTTACCAGCAGGACTGAAGGGTGCAGTCCCATCGGCTGTCCAGTGGACCGAGTCCAGAGGCTCGAGCCCAAGAAATCGAGGAGCGGGCTTCTCAGGTGCTCAGGGGCACAAGACATGCCCTTTCTTTCCAGGAGTTCCTGATCTCCTTCAAAGAGTGAAGAGCGCCACCCTTCACAGAAAGCCCATCCCATGAGTTTGCCATGGCTGCAGGACGGGGTTAGGCATCCTGCACTTGAACGTGTGGTCCCTTCGTCAGTGGAGCTGGAGAGAGGACGGGTGAAGGGGACCACTCCCCAGTTCTCTTCTACTAACAACACAGATACGCGTATGGGGGCCCCGGCGTCCCTGCTCGACAGGGATGATGGGAATGCTCACGGCTGGTACAGCGGCTAGAGCACTAGTAGTGTGTGACGAGGGAGATGAGTTTTGAATCTGATTTCATTGTAACAGCTGCGTTTGCAGCCATACAGCGGTCAGTCCCATAGGCAGGACAGACCGAGGAGATCCGGACTCTGGAATTAACGTTTATCGGGGGGAACTCATCAGCAACCTGCGATACACAAATGGCACAACCTTGCTTGCTTGAAGCGAAGAGGACTTGAAGTCCTTACTTATGAAGATCACAGACTACAGTCTTCCGTAGGGATTGTACCTCAGCATAAAGAAAACAAAAGTCCTCACAGCTAGATCCAGAAGGACTCACACCGAGGCTGCGACACTGGGTTCAAACACAGTAACAGTGACGAGGCTGACTCAGGGCAGGACGGGGCTGCATTCTGCATGGAACCCCATGAACCCAAACCCACCTGACAGCAGCTACTACCGGAGAGTGGACTAAAGCTTTCAGGGCCTTCATGGGCTGCTGGGCACAACACAAAATGGGAGAAATGGGCTGCAAGGACCCATCAATAATGGGAATACGGAATGTAGGAAGTATGAGTCCAGGAAAATTAGAAGTTTCCATTAAAGAAACGGAACACATCAATATTGATATCCTGGGCATTAGTGAGCTGAAATGACTCGTATTGGCCCTTATGAATCAGTTAATTCTATGGCTTACCATGCCGGCAATGACAAAGTGAAGAGGAACAGCATAGCACTCGTTATCAGAAAGAAAGCATGAAGCTCTAGTATGAAGTACATCGCTGTCTGTGATAGGATAATATCCATATGCCTACAAGGAAGATCAGTAAATACCAATACTCAAAACTTATACACCAACTCCTACAGTCAGTGATGATGAAACTGAAGAATTCTGCTCTGGTAGCGTAGTGGTTACAAGTCGGGCTGCCAACCTCAAGGCCAGCAGTTCGAAACTACCAGCGGTTCCATGGGAGAAAGATGAGGTGTTCTGCTCCTGTAAAGGTTTACAGCCTCAGAAACCCTGTGCAGGGTCGCTATGAGTCGGAACCGACTCCACAGTACTTCACAACAACAACAACCAACTTCTTAAGCTTGAAATTGATCAAACCTGCAATCAAGATGTATTGATAATTATTAGTGATTGGAATAGGAGCTCTGGTAGCGTAGTGGTTACGAATCGGGCTGCGAACCTTAAGGTCAGCAGTTCGAAACTACCAGCCGCTCCGCGGGAGAAAGATGAGGCTTT